GTAATCGGGACACTTAACGTGTTGGGACTTGCGAAGCGAGTCGGGGCAAGGTTAGGTTTGCCATTGCATCCATACGTTTCTTTTACTTTCATTGTGCTTAAAGTCTAATTAAATTCACACTGTCTACTATTTCAATAGGATTTTGCTGACATCAACATCAGAGGTATATGGCGATCCGCTCGTGCATCCTCAGACTGAAGATTACTGGGGCAATGTCAACCCTATAGGTATTAATTACGATGCAATCGACAACATAAAATTAAAGCTGATTTTTTTTTATTTTCTTTTTAAATCGTGGTAGAAAGGAAATTTTCCTTCATATAAAAGTAGTATAAGTTCAAAAAATGTTCAACCTTCGAATAATATATGCTTCAAAGTTATCGTCGTTTAATATGTAATTGCAGGAGTTAGGAGCTGTTACGATGAGGGAAAACGAGTAGCTGAAACTTTGATGTTTGACTACCATAGGCAGCATGGACTTGGTAATTGTTGCTCTCACACTAAATATATAATTACATGTAGTATGGTGCATTTCCTTACCAAATTAAAACGATAAATTTTTAAAACAGAAATAAGGATTGCAAGAATCTTCAACACTTACGGACCACGGATGAATATCGACGATGGTCGGGTTGTCAGTAATTTCATTGCTCAAGCTATACGGTAACGCACTCGGGCCCTATACCATTACCATATCATCGTGTTTTCTTCTTATCTCACACGGTGTGTAGTGTACTGTGTGAGAAGTTTCACAGAGATATACAAAAGACCACTATTGTCATTTTTGCTACTCGACTAATAATTCAAAATTTGTACCACTGTAGTGACGAACCTTTGACCGTCCAATTGCCTGGAACACAGACGAGAAGCTTTTGCTACGTCTCTGACATGGTAAGAAAAATCATCTTATCTTCGGTATTTTCGGTTAAATTTCTTTCGAGTGCTAGAATATTGATACGGAAGCTTACTCTTTTTTTATTTCTTTTGTGGTGAAGGTTGATGGTCTTATTCGACTAATGGAAGGAGACAATACAGGGCCAATTAACATCGGCAATCCAGGTTTATATATACCGTCACTCGATACTTTTCTTGCTTGAATTTATGATTAATATTAACTGAGGATATTATTTTTTTCTATCAGGTGAATTTACAATGCTTGAGCTCGCCGAGACTGTGAAAGAGGTTAGTATACTCGGTTAACCGACGCTTTGTTTAAAGCTAAACATGAAAACTTATAATAATAATAAAATAATGATTTTGAGGGATTCGCAGATGATAAATCCAGAAGTGAAAATCGTAACAGTGGAGAACACGCCGGATGATCCGAGACAAAGAAAGCCAGATATTACAAAGGCGAAAGAATTGCTCGGCTGGGAACCGAAGATCAAACTGCGCGAAGGCATTCCTCTCATGGAGGAGGATTTTCGACAGAGGCTCGGTATTCCATCCAACAAGAACTGAATAAATACATCTCTGCTGTTTCAGACAACTTCCTAATTCAAATTAATATTTAGTTGTGGAGAACTCTATTTTAAATTATACTTATTTATTTTCAATAAATTTATTATAATTATGTTTCTTTGATTTTTCATTGCATGTAATTGTATTGACCATTTCTTTCTTAAATGCGGCCAAACTTTTTTCACTTTTTCACTGATTGCAATATGACAAAAAAATAGGAGTCTTGATGTGGAAATATCAGTATTTGGAGGGACGTGTGCTTAATTTATGTCTGCATGGGGCCCCACTTTTCAAGAGAATCTGAAACCTCGGAAAGTAGTGTTTGGTTGGCACTTTGAACCGAGTCTGTAAGACCGGAAGACCACGGAAGAAGAAAGAGCAGAAGTTTCGACAAACTCCTGTTACAGTTCAGAGTCATTGCGTACCACATTTTGAAGGTTCGATTTCTCATGCTTACCAAATCGCATAGTTGTTGAAAATTAGTTTTACCCCAAATTTAAGCCCTAGCATTAAAGTAAAATTTGTTCTTTCGTTGTCGGAGTTGTAAGCAGTGTATTGTGATTCAAAAATTTTGTTCGATTTTGCGAAATTATACACCCGAGGTGTGTGTGTGTGTATAAATATATATGGTTCATTTTGAGGGTTTTGAACTATTACTCTCATATGTTAAATACAGCTTAATTATGGATTCTTGAAAGAGAAGAAAAAAAAAGATATACTAACTTGAACTAATATGGTATACTAATTTTGGCTCTGAATTTTGTAATAATTAGACAAGGAAAAAGTTATATATAGATACAACTAAACATAGGAAAATTCCAAAAATAAAGCAGGCTGGAATATAATCAATTGTGTATAGCTGGAGACTGGAGTTACCACTTATTCCGACGAATTATTTTGTACCTAATCTATAATATACTTTGTCAATCTGTATTTTAGATTAATATTATTTTAAAGGGTTAAGTACACTTACACCCCTAAAGTATAGTATATATAACATTTGCCCCCTTACATTATCTTTGTGTAACATTTCACCCCTTCAAAAATCATTTATACAATACATGCATAATAAACTAATTTATTTTGGGGCAAATCGCGGCCAACCATGAGGTATGACAAATTACGAAAAAAGCCCCTCTTGTTTGGGTAATTACAGCCACCCCTCCTTTTAAATATTTTTACATAAAATTTATGTAATTCGGTTATTTATTGAGCTAAATCATATAGTCAGTTCGGTAATCGGTATGAAATGTTGGCGTTCCGAAATTTCGGTTCGATTTTACCGATTTAACATCCCTAAATTTACTTGTGGAGATATTTTTGTAAGATAATACATAGTTAAAGGGATGACTGTAATTACCCATTATTTTGTCCAGTATTTGACCATAACTTAGAAGTGGCCGTAATTTGCACATTATTTTGAGTTTCGACTAAAATACTACACAAAATGTGAAATAAAACTATTTATCCTCTTTCTCAACAACTACTAAAATAGCCAAATAAATAAGCAAAATAAATAAAAATAAATGAAAATGCAAAGAGACAGGTGGACAAAGAAGAGAGGAGGAGAGTGAATAGGAGAAGCAAGCAATATACTATATACCATAGTATTTAGACAGTGAGGCTTGCCTCGGAGCGGGACCATCAAATCTTCTCTCTCTACATCTCTCTCTCTCCTCTTTTCTCTCTCCTCTCTGAGATTCGATTTCTCGCCGATATTTCTCTCTCTCTCTCTCTCCTCAAGGATGTTCTCAGTTTTTCAAGGTACGCCAAACTATATATATATATATATATATATATATATATATATATATATATATATATATATATATATATATATATATATATATATGCACTCCATATATGTTTATCCAGTTCTGTGAAAAACAGTGGTAGAATGATACGGCGTAGCTATTTGAATTTCGACTTTTCGAGATCTTTCATGGATTCGGGTCACACTGTTTTCGTTAAACGGGTCATAGCCCAAATGGGTTTTTTTTTCTGCTTTTTTATTTCCCAGATATTTAATATCAATCCCACCATTTTTTTTTACTATAAATAGTAGTGTTCTTCATTTCTTTTTTTTTCTGCTTTTTTCAGAACTGCAGCTTCAATTTTTCCAAGAATTACTTTACTCAGAATCTTGTTTGTATAATATCACTGTTCATTATAATTAATTGATCTCTTACATGATTTTTTATGGGATTTAATTGTCATAATTGACTGCTTATTTGGGGGGGTCTGGAGATTCTTTCTTTTGAAATTCTGAGCTCAATCTTTATTTGTGCAAAAGGTTCCCTTTTGTGGAAACAGGATCTTCTTCTTTTTTTCTTTTTTCTAATTGTCATAATAATTGCAACTAACAATCAAAATACATCAATAAACAAATAATTACCATCAATTATTCTAGGGTAAATTACGGTCATCCCCAAGTTCAGTTAAAATTACGAAAAATCCCTGTTGTTTGTGTTATTACAATCATTCCTCAACTATGAATTTTCTTACATCGTCCTCCCTTATTTTCTTGATTCCGTGTTAATGTTGTCTAGTTTGTACTCGTTTTGTACAAAAATACAGTTTTCTGATGCACAAGAATCTGATATTTACGATCCAAGAGACACATCTTATACTCATCTTATTACAAAATGTGAAGCACGAATGGGGTAAAACAGGTATAAACTGGAGAATATTCCATAGATTCCACTAATTTGACACCGCAAGGGTGAACATGTAAGAAGATTCACAATTAAGGGTGGTAATTGTAATTACCCAAACATGAGATGGTTTTTCGTAATCTAACATTACCCGAGGAGTGGCCCTAATTTAGCAATTATTCTAAAACTAAAGCAATTGTTCATGGTCATGGGGTGGTAGTGGGGGTGGCTGGCGTAGGGGGGGTTGGTGGGTGGGGGTAGGGGGGGGGGGAGCATGATATCAAGTTCAGACCTTGTCTCTTATGCCCAAATTGGCTTTAAAGAATTCAAAACCTTATCATGTGTTGTCTGGACTTTTGGTTAAATATTATATTTAAAAAAAAAAAAAAAAACAAGTACAAATGAGAAGATATGATGATGGGCATTCCTTAAAAAAACAATTAAAATATTTGAGTAATGGAAGAATGTCTCTTCCCTTCTCTGTGAAGTTCCATTTCCCCCCCTCATTCTTTATGTTTCTTGGTTTTTCCTGGCAATTAATTAATTAATTTCAGTCTGTTTATTTGTTGGGCAGGGCTGCATTTCATTTGATTGAGATTTGAAAAAAAAAAAAAAATGGAGGGTGATACGTATTCGGGACTCGGTAATATCGCGCAAATGGATGGCAAGATCTTGCAGAGTTTCCAGAAGAGCTTTGTCCAGGTCCAGAATATACTTGACCAGAACCGGCTGCTAATCAACGAGATTAACCAGAATCACGAGTCGAAAATCCCCGACAATTTGAGCCGGAACGTGGGCTTGATCAGAGAGCTTAACAACAATATCAGGAGGGTTGTTGATCTTTACTCCGACTTGTCGACTTCTTTCACTAAATCGATGGATAATTCGTCCGAGGGTGATTCGACTGTCGGCGGCGTAAAATCAGCTGGCCAGAAGAGGCATAGGCTCGGCTAGTTCTTGATTCTATTACACGTACGGTGCGCGAAAAACACACACACCAAGAATTAGTGCAGACAACACAATCTTGAGAAGGTAATAGAAAGAAAGAAAGAATGTTTAGATTTTGTATGTTAAATTAATTAATTAAGTAATTACCATTCTTGCCACTAGTAGTGAAAAATAGCTCCAAAAATCTATTATTACCTGCATGTATAACTTTGTACCTGTTATCTAATTTAATCAAGAATGCCTGGCTTTTGATTGTTAACTTTCATGAAAGCCAATTCTGGGATTTTTTTATTTTTTTTAATTTATTTATTTAATATAAAAAAGTAAATAAAGATTCAATTTTTATGTTATGGTTTGTGAAGATGAGTGTATCAGGATTTGTACCTGTTATCTAATTTAATCAAGAATGTCTGGCTTTTGAGTGTTAACTTTCATGAAAGCCAATTTGGGATTTTTTTTTTAATTATTTAATATAAAAAAGTAAATAAAGATTCAATTTTTATGTTATGGTTTGGGAAGATGAGTATATGAGGATTTGTAATGTAGTGAGAAGTGAAACACATAATGGAACCAAAAAGAGTACACCTCTGCAAAGATGCTCTCAAACAGTTAGAGGGGAATTAAAAATGAAAAGTGCTTAAAAAAAGCAGCTTTTTAAGATAAATCACTTTTAGTTCCCAATCACACTCCACCACAGGAAAACAGAATCTCAGATAAGAGATGATGATGGTCTTTTTTTCCTTGCTCCTTTTTATTTATTTATTATGTTTTTCTTTTTAGATAATAATAAATAAATAAAGAGCTTGGGTAGTTCAATACGTATTGTATGTATATATGTATTTATTTATTTATTTATTTCGTTTCCATGAATTGACAAATCTCTTGAATACAAATTGTAATTCTTTTTAAGATCAACAAATAGGAGCTTGGGTAGTTGGGTGCATCACATTTTTATCTAGAATTTTATTGTAATTTGCAATAATATTATTGTAATTTGTAATAGTGACCCCCAACAAGTTGTCAAGGGCCCCAAATGGTCCTTTTTTGAGATGATGAACTCAACCTATTCACTACATTCTTATCCCTTCTCTACTTAGATTCTTTTCCCCTTTTCCTTTTTAATTTCTCCATTTTTGTCTTTTCCTCGACCGAATTGTGGATTTTTTTTATAGTTTCGAATTGTTCAAAAATAAAAAATAAAAAAATCGTGTTATTAATATTAGTAAAATCTTCCAATGTTGTATTTGTTAGCACACAACCTCTTAAATTGTGAGTTTTTAGGGGTAATTTGCTAAAAGAATTGAACCGTATTGATTTTCTCCTAATAAAAATCATAAATTTTTTTTTTTGAGAAATTAGTAAATATAGTGGTGTTAAATGCAATAAACATGTATTTCTTCTTCTTTGTTAAGCTTTGATTTGAAATAAATAGGCCTTTATTAGTGGCTTCCATTTGATTTAGGTCATCATACTTTAATTTAGGCATTTATCAGTATCTCTGAGTTATATCGAATTGCTATAAAATTTCGCATGTTATTAATGTCAGCAAAACAATCTTCTACGATGCAATTTTTTTTAGCACGCAATCGTCTATAATCTATATAGTGTTTTTCTAGGGGTAGTTTGGCTGATAAAATTGAATTATAAGAGATATTTTGTTAATATTTATAACAAGACGACTCTTTTTGACAATTGAAGTAAAACAGGGGTGCTAAATGCAATAAATCTCATTATTGGGCTTTGTTGGCGGGACCTAGTACTAAATTCATCATCTTAGGAGTGGGTGGGGACCACATAGGTGATTTATATTGCTTAAGAAAATGAACTGTTTCTAAGTCCAGACTAGATTTTTGATTAATGTGTCTTTGTTGGAATGGTGTCACACTTTCTGTTTGATGTTTATATAATGTCTTCTTTTTTGCCCTTATTCGTCTCTTGTCCTAAAGTGACTCTCTCTCTCTCTCTCTCTCTAGCATCTCCTTCATCATTTTTATTTTTATTTATTTTCTTTTCTTTTGATAATTTTTTTCAATATTCAACTTATGATATAGCAAATTACAGCCACCCCTAAAGGTAAACTGAAATTACAAAAAAAATAATCATGTTTGAGTAATTACAACCACCTCCCTTAAATTCATATTGTGTTGCGAAAAAATCCCCCATTCAGTACGTAAATTTGACACTGTAAAAATGCACGTGTAAGATAATACATTATTGAGATGAATGATGGTAATTACTCAAATATGGTGGATTTTCGTATAATTTGACGTTAAGACAAGGGGCTCCCTGTAATTTACCCTTATTAATATAAATTTTAGTTTTACAACTACCACGTGGCATCCACTACATCATTAATTCTTGAAATCAAATCAAGGGGTTTGGAGCAATCACTTTCCGCCTTCTACTTACACATATATCATCACAAATAATCCTTTTTGCAATCATATCAATATCCATACCCCAAATTTCAAAATAATATATCAACCCCTGATTTTGACTTGGTCAAAACTAACCATAATATAATTATTGTAATTTTATTTAGGCTTAATTTTATAATTTGGAAATTATTTTTTTGTAATATTTATAATTTATGGTCATGGAAACCAAAGTTACACCCATGAGCCAACAGCTTGCAACTAGTCATGAGAATTAAATTTCATTTATTATTCATGCACCACGACACGATTTCTTATTCGACTCTAGAACGCGCATTTCTCGAGCCATACTAGAACTAAAGAAACTAGAAACCCGATTTCAAACTTTCCCGTTTTTGTTCTTGAGCAAGAGGCAGCAGTTATGGCAGTTTCCCAAGCCACAACAGCCGCACCCGCACATGCATTGGAGCCTCCTATGTGGCTTCCCCGACAAACCACCACTGGCGTACTCCACCATCCACTCGCCGCCAGCTTCCAATTCCTCTACATTTTTCTCCGATTGCCCGCCGGAGGAGTTGACAAAATACTCACTCAAGTCGTGCTCCGGCGAAACATCGTCGGGAACCAACGGGTTGCTAACAAAGTAGTAGCAAAGTGCAAAACCTATGAGTAGTACTGCAAATAGTACTTTTGGAGCCATGTTGCTCTTAGACATGTATCTCGAATGATATATATATGCTAATGCTGTCTTAATTAATTTAATTTAGAGGAATTTATATATATATATAGTATGCATGGGGAGGTAATTCATTTGATGTGTAGTTATTGTATTGTAGCAAGATTGGTTCTGAATGTACGGCGGCGCGTAGTGGTTCTCGCCGGCGATTATTAAATTAGTTCGTGCATTGCAATGTTGATTTGATGAAGACCTTGGTACAAGTTCTTACCTGATCTTGTTGGACGTTTCTTTAAGGGGAATATTCTTATACCTACCTATTGGGTCTAATTCGCTCAAAAGTGAAATAAAAGCCCGCTATTTCAAATTGGGCTTAAAGCGAGGCCCATAATGAAGTTTTGCTATCTCGGGCCTTTGTCTTGCAAACCTAAATCTCACCTCAGCCGCAATCATCCAGACCGTTCGATTAACTCCTCCCGCTAACATTTAAATTTTTTAATCACCAACTCAAAACCCTAATATGCACCTAGGGTTTGGATTCACACTACCGCACGCAGTACTTATCCTGAGATCTTCTTCTTCTTCTTCTTCTTCTTCTTCTTCTTCTTATGAATCGAATGTGCAACGAGTTGAACGAGGTACTGACTCGTGAGTTGGCTGAGGATGGATACTCTGGTGTCGAGGTCAGGGCTACTACCGTGAGGGCTACTCGCACGCAGAATCTCCTTGGTAATTATTCTCTCATTTTCTTTTTCCATTTGATCCGTCTATTATTTTGTACGGAACAGGATTTTGTTTTCAATTTTTGATTGAATTTCAAATTTGTTATCTGTTTTTGCCCAAATGTGCTATTTGATGGTTCTCCGAATCAATTTGTGTTTAATTTATGTAATCAAATAGTATTCCACTTGTTCTGTTTGTTAGTGATTTTGAATCATTTCGATTTGTTTGATTACAGCAGGAGAGAAATGGAGGAGAATCAGGGATCTTACTTCTCTCGTGCAGAAGAGATTCAGATTCCCCGAGAACCGCGTTGAATTGTACGCCGAGAAGTTAGCAACAGGCTGAGTTCCTCCGGTGAGGTAACGATCGTTTTCTTCTCGGTTTTTGTTAATGAGCATGGTGCTCGTAATTTTATTCCATGAGTTGGATTTTGATAGAAGTTCGAATCCTCAGATAACTCTTATTTATAGATACAAAAGTAGGGATGCTATCGAAATGCTTTGTTCTATCTGGCTATTGATTTGTGGTCTGCACACGATTTGTGAGCTAGAATTGATTAAAACCACGTCATCTTAAAAGCAATTTTGGTGATTCGATACCAACTTTTGTGTCGGATGATGACTACAAAAAATCGTTTTCCTGCCATGCTGTAATCATCTTGAACCTTTCATGTGTTCATCTTGTATTCTTGGTGAAGACACATGTTTATGCGTTTATATTTTATTTGTATGATTTAAGTGCTTACAATGTCATCTTTTCAAAGCAAAATTGGTATCTCGATTCCAATTTCTGCGTCGGATGTTGACTAGAAAAAAATTGTCTTCCTCCACTTGATAATCATCATGACTTTTAACTAATGCTCATGTTGTTTCCTTGGAGAAGGCACATGGTTAATGACATTTTTATAATTTCTTTATTATTCGTTTGAACTGTCACAGACATGAATTTGTTGTTTAAAATGTCTCTTTTAACCTTTATTATTCGCCTTTTCGTACATTGTGCTGGGTTTCTGATTTATCGTATTTTGACATGTGGCCCGAACAGGTTATTGTGGAATTGAGGGCTAAGCAAGTCCATGAAGTTCAAGGATGAGTACATTGATGCTGTTGTTAGACATGTTCTTCTCAGGCAGGGTTCGTTTTCTTTCGTTCGTTTGGTGTCATCTTTTAGGATAACGTGTTTGTTGTTTTTCTTCTTATATTCTGATAATTTTATTTTTTCGATTGGACAGGGTGTACTTGGTATCGAAGCTAAGGTAATGCTTGACTGGGATCCGAGAGGAAAACAGGGTTTGACAACGCCTCTTCCAGAGGTTGTCAATATTCATCCTCCAAAGGAAGAAGAGATTTATATCAGGCCATCAACTGCTACAACTGTGCCTGCTGAAATTGATGTGCAAGCATAAAAATGGGCATCAAAACCTTGTAATTTGTTGGATTGTTTTCCCTATTTTATATATATACACTTGATATTTCACAACAGGATTTGAACCATACATATCCGTATCTAAGTTTTATAAAGTTCATGTAACTTCATAAATAAAGGCTATGGAAATTACATGAGTTTACACATTTTTAGAAAGTTTCGAAAACATTCAAAAAATAAGAATTCCCACTTTCACGAAATCATAAAACTAAAACTGCTTGTATTATAGATTCAATAATTTTAAGTATAGTTATAATGATTTCAACTGCACTAGGCATCTATTTTCAAATACCACGTAAAATTCTACCTCTGAAATGATAAATATCAGAACTATGGAAAATACTGTATAAAATTTCAAGTCCGATCCAAAAAAACTCGAAAAATATGGAAAATAGAAATTGTGGAAATCAGAATGAAAAAAGTTGTTCCAAAATTGGAAGTTTTTAGATCGTAATTGGCGGAAATCGAAAATTTCGTTCCAACTTTCATCCGTAGTTCATATTTTTCCAAATAAATACATTTCGTGAAGAGAATATCTATTTCTATTTTCTATGGTTAATACTTAATACTACTTACTATAGGGACGAAAATGAACAAAGAACAAAGTTAAGAGACAAACTTGTAACTCAAATTTTTTAGATTGGTTAATTAGTAATTATTTATAGAGATGTCAAATGTATTGATTAATCAAAAGATTATTCCACACACTCAAAACTAGGTCGGTTTCTCCCCGCCATTTCATCAACGTTCGTCTCCCTTTCCCAAATTACCCTTCTAAATTCCCCATTATTTAGAAATAAACCCACCAAACCCTCTCTCGCTCATTCAAAATTCATCCCCGATTTCCCCTTTCCACATTCCCCACTCGTACAATTCGGTTTCCACTTCTCTAAATCTTACGAATCTTCCAATTAAATTACCAGAAAATAATGCCGGTGAATCTGACGGCGAACGCCATAACGGCGATTAACGACGGCGACGTTAATTTGAAGCCGCTGGTGCAGGTGTTGGACATCAAGCTCATCGGCTCCACGCAGGAGCGCTACCGCCTCCTCCTCTCCGACTCGGTGGAGACGCAGCACGCAATGCTCGCCACTCAGCTTAATGACCGAGTCAAGACAGGCCGAGTCCGCAAGGGATCTGTTATCCAGCTCATCGAGTACATATGTAGCACCGTCCAAAACCGCAAGTAATTTCTCCTATCACTCGCTTGAATCGCTTACATGTACATATTCTGCGTATGATTTTTAGGTTTTTTCATTTGGTTTTGGAATTTGAGTGTTGATATTTTGATGAATCATGAGTTTTGTCTTTGCTGGATCGTTTGAATGTAAAACGGAAGGGTTTTTTGAACAGGGATAGCAGTCATAATAAGAGGCTGTTTGTTTTCTGTTTGAGTTGATAGAGTCTTACCTAGAAATTTGATTGTTTGTTGCTGATTGGTTATAGTTGATTTTCGATTTCAAGGTGTTCTAAGTAGAAGTGTAAGTATAAGTATGCAGACTTTAGAAACTTGAATTTAATCGTTTTTTGAAAGCTAAAATAGTCTTCAAGCTGTCAATGATGCTATTTGGCCAGGCAAGATGCATCGATGCACGATGGAGCAATGTTATTTTGAGATATAAGGTCACGTTAAGCATGGTATGTTTAGATAAAAAGTTCACTTGATGACTTATCAGTTAAAATGTTTAGTGTGGAGATTTAGAGAATAAGACTACATAATTTTAGATATAAGTGTTGGACTGGAAGATTTCCTGGTTGATTTCACAGTCATTAGGCTGGAATGAACTGGTATTTCTTCAACTCAAAATTATGGTGCTAATCTGGATAATAGTAAGAGTAGAGACATCAAATTGAACAGTGAATGGTTTTCCTTTGAAATAAAACTCTCCTCAATACGTATATGAATAATAGAACGAGAAAAATAAACTGAAATGGCTGAGATTTGGTTTCTTTTAATACTTTGTTACACTGAGAGCAATTTGTCTGCCATATCCGGGAAACATTTTCTAATTCACATTTTTGTAACTGTGCTTATTAGATGCATTATAGGTCACTATTGTCCACTGAGTTTGATTTACATTTGATATTAATAAGATAAATGATTCTTTTCTTCAATGATTATCTGCTTTGGGCTGCTTGATGGAGGTCCTGCCTTATGATGGAATAAAGGGCAAGCTAATGCTATGTTTTTTTCTTCACAAAACCAAATCATTGTACGTATCATTCTGAGAAGTTCAATTGTCGGTCAAGCTAATGTTAACGGTGTAAGGTGCTTTTGGCATCATAAAAGGGGGCAACAGTGTGAATTTGCATTAGAGATCTTTGCAGTTCATAAGGTTCTAGTTCCAAAAATTTTAGTACAATACAGAGTCGTGCTTAAAGTGAAAGTTATACATCAAACACCTTAACGTCAAAATTCAACACCAATAAACTGATTGATGTGAGTCTTGCAGGATTATTGTGGTACTAAACATGGAAACGATTATTCCAGACTGCGATATAATTGGTAATCCAAAAGGATTGCCTGAGCTTGATTCAGTGCCTCCAAAGCCAACTCCTGGTACAACTTCTGGACCTCCATCATCGATAAACAATAACAACGTTGCTGCTCAAAATTTACGGACAAGCTTTGGCCATGGCAAATCAAGTTTCCAAAATCAAGGCAGTAACACGCAGAGTTTCCGTCCAACTGTTCAGCCCCCATACCAACCCCCTCCAAATTACAAAAATCACGGGGCAATAATGAGGAACGAGGCTCCAGCTCGCATTATCCCTATCGCTGCTTTGAATCCTTATCAAGGTCGATGGGCTATCAAAGCAAGAGTGACAGCAAAGGGAGATCTCAGACGTTACAATAACGCAAGAGGAGATGGGAAAGTATTTTCCTTCGATCTTCTCGACTCAGATGGAGGGGAAATTAGGGTAACATGCTTCAATGCTGTGGTTGACCGATTTTACGAAACTATCGAAGTTGGAAAAGTCTATGTGATATCAAAAGGTAGCTTAAAGCCTGCCCAGAAGAATTTCAACCATCTAAAGAATGAGTGGGAAATATTCCTTGAGACAACATCGTCGGTGGATCTTTGTCCAGACGAAGATGCTTCGATACCAAGGCAGCAGTTTTCTTTCCGGCCTATAAGTGAAATCGAAAACGCTGAAAGCAATTCTATACTTGATATAATTGGCATTGTGGTAACTGTCAACCCTTCTGTTCCTATAATGAGAAAGAACGGAATGGAAACACAAAGGAGAATTCTGAACTTGAAGGACCAATCAGGGAGCAGCATCGAGTTGACACTATGGGGAGAGTTCTGCAATCGGGAAGGACAACAATTGCAAGAAACCACAGACACTGGGAATTTCCCGATTTTAGCCGTCAAAGCTGGAAAAGTCAACGACTTCAGTGGGAAGTCAATCGGCACCATATCCGCCACTCAGCTATTCATAAATCCAGATTTCCCAGAGGCACACGCTTTAAGAGACTGGTTTGACCAAGGTGGAAAAGACACTGCTTCTCACTCAATATCTCGAGATTTTGTACCTGGAGGAACGAAGAATGATGTGCGCAAGAATTTGACTCAGATAAAAGACGAAGGGCTTGGAAGGTCCGACAAACCAGACTGGATCACAGTTAAGGCGACCATATCTTTCATTAAAACAGACAGTTTCTGTTACACTGCTTGCCCTTTGACGATCGGCGATAGGCAGTGTAGTAAGAAAGTGACGAAATCTGGAAACTCTCGATGGATGTGTGACAGGTGTAATCAAGAATTCGAAGAGTGTGATTATAGGTACCTTCTACAAGTCCAGGTTCAGGATTATAGTGGGCTGACTTGGGTGACTGCTTTCCAAGAAACTGGCGAAGAGATTTTGGGTTGCTCGGCAAAAGAGCTGTACGCGTTGAAATACGAAGCGCAGGATGATGTCAGATTCGGTGAAATTATTCGCAACTGTCTTTTTGCGGAGTTTCTTCTCAAGCTTAAAATCAAAGAGGAGACGTACGGTGATGAACAGAGGGTGAAGATCACTGTTGTCAAGGCGGATAAAGTTAACTATTCCGATGAGAGTCGATTTCTGTTCGATATGGTCTCGAAGTTTCATTTGCGGTGAGTAATATATAATGGAGGCAGTGCTTTTTTCTATTTTATTTACTAGAAATATTTCAGGCCTTATTATAATTGAAGCATCAGTTCAAATTTGTTATTATACATTAGATTGTATACACTGGCCATAGATATGTAATTCATGTAATATTTTCTCTGCCTTAGATTTTATTCCGCATCTGTTTTCTTCATGCTTTCTCAGGCCATATTGTTCTGTTACTTGGTTGATATATTCTGTATTTAGTTAGGGTAAATTACAATAGTCCCCCCTGAGGTAAGGTCTATTTGCCAAAAAGCCCCATCATTTTTTTGAAATTACATCCACCCGGCAGTTTGTAGTTTTTTTGTACATTAACACCCATATAGTTACATCAATATCTAAGTTCTGTAAGAATTAAAGCCAACAGAAACAACAATTTAGTCAATTCACCAAAATGTAATAAGATAGACACATTTGATAGATATTAGATACAAAGATGGAAACATATTTCAAAAAAATTAAAAAAAAATCGATGTATCTCAAGCCCGGTTGACAGGATCGAAATTGGACACTCCGACCACCACACCAATAATGCCGGTGAGCACAACGCCGCCGGCGGCGATGCTGAGCAGGAAGTTATTGAGCGACGGCGAGACGCCGCTGGCGGCCTCCGCCACATCGGGAACTATCATGGAGGCGGCCAACGCGGCGGCCGTCAATCCGGTGACGGCCTTCTCCCTAAACGAAGCATTGACCTGGAACTTTCCGACGGGCTTCGGCGCCACCACCACGGCCGCCTTGGACGGCCGCCTCAGCGGCGTTGGCTTGAGGAAAGCTTCGGCATTTGGTTGCCTGATTTGGCTGACACGTGTAAGTGGCATCGCCATGGATACTGCGGAAGTGGAAGCCATTGATTTGCTGCTTCGTTTTTTGCTTCTTACTGGAAAGTAAGTTAACTTCTCGCTCTGCTGTTAATTAAATGGGAGTAATGGGAGGTGGAGAATTGAGATTTTGAGGGCTATTTTTCGATCTCCTCCACGTGGCAGCTTCTCCACTAGTTTGTGGTGGATAAGGTTATCTCATTTGGATATTTGGGCAAAAAATAATTTGTGAATTTCTTTTTAATCATATAATTATAGGTAAATTACAACCACCTCCCCGAGGTATGGTCAAATTACAAAAATCTCCCTCATGTTTGGGTAATTACAACCACATCTCAATTATAAAATTTAGTGGAATCTTCTAGATTATATGGAATATTATCACTTTTGTACCCGTTTTATTCCATTCGAACTCTATATTTTGAAGCAAGATGATTAATATATGTTTTTTGGCTTGTATATATTAGATTGTGGTGCATCGGAAACCGTATTTTTATACAAAACGAGTACAAACTAGAGCACATTCCACGAAATCTAGATGATTATGTTGAATTTGACACCATAAAGATGGAGGTGTAAGAAAAAATCATAGTTGAGGGGTAGATGTAATTATCCAAACAAGAGGAATTTTTCGTAAATTGACTATACCTCAGGGGGTGTTTGTAATTTACACCTAATTTTAATGCTCAAATTTTCCGGTACACACCTCCCTCCGGATTTTGAAATAGGGAATTGGAACAAAATTTTCGATTCTGCGTTCAATCCGAAACTTTTGATTTCGAAACAGTATTTTTCATTCCGAAATCTCTCTCTCTCTATATATATAAATATATGTATAAGTATATATATAAATATATGAGATTCCGACTTCCCATCGATTTTAATTCACCAAAATTCTGATGTTTGTTGATCCATAGTTGAACTTAATTAATGAAGATAAGCTTCAATGGGCATAACATATAGAGTTGGCCTTTTAACAATTATTATTGATCTTTAAATAGATCCATAACTATTGGGCTTGTCCCAGATTCAAGATTTTGGGCCAAGGCCCATCAATTTAATGATTAAAAAATAAATAAATAACACAGATTTAAATAAAATAAAAAATTATAAACTCGGTAAATTAATGATGTTTGCAGCATTTACAAATGAAGCTCTTATGAAGTGTGTGTAAATGAGAGAACTCGTAATCCGGAGACGAAAAAAAAAAATTCGAATCACCTTACACCGTTAGTAGGTGCTAACATTGCGTCTCGAGCATAACTAATCTGCACTTCCTGAGGAAGAAGATTGAATTTAATGCCCAACTCCTCGAAAATTCTCTTAAGTTCTAACACTAAATCCGATCTTCGGTTTCCCCTCTCACCCGAATTTTGGAAATTTATTGTATGAGTTACGTATAGCGCCATTACAATCTTGTGTACGTCTACTATTTCCTTTATCTGCACACTGTGATTCGGACTCCAGTGCTGCGGCTTACTCTCCAAGTACCTGGAATTGAAAATTTAGCAACCATTTAGTATATATATATAAATGTCGGAAAACAATTTTCAAGAAAAGGCGAAAAGTTTACGAGAATTTTGATTGTAATAAAAGAGCAAGAAGAAAAGGGTTCGTTCGTATAATGTATTTTTTCTCCCTTACAACGGAAGTGTAATAAGTCGTTAGCTAGAAGAAACTATGTATACCTTCTTACGATCATTTAAGATATATACATTTTCGACGAAATTTCTCAATGTATTCTTTATTATAACATTTTGACCAATAGAAAAACAAACAACTGCCGATTTTTTTTTTTTTTTTTTAAATATCTAAAATTTTCGGGTATTTTTATTTAATTTTGTTCTTATAAAGTTTGCAATATTATAATATTAAATGTGACAAAACACACCTCAGGAGAAGTAGAATCCAATCCATAAGTTAGAGCAGAAATATTGCCAAGACTATCAGTTCCCAACACATCAAGCTTCATCACAGGTTTCCTACACAAAGTAGATGTACATAACCTAAGTTTTTAATGTCGATTATTCAACCAATTATTTGCATTCTTTTCGTCCGACGTCTCAAATCCTAAATTCCGATTATATTTTTTTTTTCAAAATTCAAATTTCACCCTAAAATTCCTTCGTTT